TGGGGTGGGATGGGTGGGGTGGGGTGGATAGGATGGGATGGATGGGATGGATGGGATGGAGAGAACAGGAATGGGACGGGATAGGATGGGATGGGGTGGGATGGAGAGGGTGGGATGGGATGGGATGGGGTGGGATGGAGAGGGTGGGATGGGATGGGATGGAGAGGGTGGGATGGGATGGGATGGGATGGGATGGGATGGGATGGAGAGGGTGGGAGAAGCCCCCACAGTGGCAGTGGGGCCACGAACCCCTCCCTCACGCCCATCCCATGGGACGTGGGGGAGCAGATCCTCCTCCGGGATGATTTTTGGGAACACCTCGAGCTCACCTGGATGACGAAGGGCTCGGGTTGGCTCTGCAGCTCCTCATCCTCACAGACCTTCACCGGCCCCCCCCGGGTGATGCTGCCCCCCAAAAACACCTGCGGGGGCACAGGATTCCCAAGGAAAGGATCAGTGGATTCCCAAGGAAAGGATCATTGGATTCCCAAGGAAAGGTGGGAATCATCCCATCCCATCCCATTCCAGAGGGAAATGTCCTCCCATCCCATCCCATCCCATCCCATCCCATCCCAAAGGGAAACATCCTCTTCATCCCATCCCATCCCATCCTCTTCATCCCACCCCACTGCAGGGACTGGGATTGGGACTGGGATTGGGAGCAGGATTGGGATCAGCATCCCCTGACCCATTCCACGAGTCCTTTTCCCATCTCCCTGAATCCCAGGTAGGATTTTTTCCCTCCCCGAATTCCCGGCAGGATTTTTTCCCGGGATTTGCCCTCACCTGCCCCACGAGCCGTGGCCGGCGGGTGTTGGACACGTCGTACATCCGCACGTCCCCGTGGAGCCAGTTGCTGAGGAACAGGAACCGGTCGTCCAAGGAGATCAGGATGTCCGTGATGAACCCTTTGGAAAAGGGAACACGGGGCTGGATTTGGGATCGGGATCATCCCGGGAAGGGAACACACCCAAACACCCACAGGGAGATCAGGATGTCGGTGATGAAACCTTTGGGAAGGGAACACGGGGCTGGATTTGGGATTGGGAACATCCAGGGAGATCAGGATGCAGGTGATGAATCCTTTGGAAAAGGGATTATTGAGCTGGATTTGGGATCGGGAACATCCCGGGAAGGGAACACACCCAAACACCCACAGGGAGATCAGGATGTAGGTGATGAACCCTTTGGAAAAGGGGTCACGGGGCTGGATTTGGGATCAGGAACATCCAGGGGTATCAGGATGTCCGTGATGAACCCTTTGGAAAAGGGGACACGGGGCTGGATTTGGGATCGGGATCATCCCGGGAAGGGAACACACCCACACCCACAGGGAGATCAGGATGTCAGTGATGAACCCTTTGGGAAGGGAATATTGAGCTGGATTTGGGATCGGGAACATCCAGGGATATCAGGATGTCAGTGATGAACCCTTTGGGAAGGGAATATTGAGCTGGATTTGGGATCGGGAACATCCCGGGAAGGGAACACACCCAAACACCCACAGGGATATCAGGATGTCGGTGATGAACCCTTTGGAAAAGGGGACACGGGCTGGACTTGGGATCGGGAACATCCTGGGAAGGGAACACACCCAAACACCCACAGGGAGATCAGGATGTAGGTGATGAACCCTTTGGAAAAGGGGTCACGGGGCTGGATTTGGGATCGGGAACATCCAGGGGTATCAGGATGTCCGTGATGAACCCTTTAGAAAAGGGGACACGGGGCTGGATTTGGGATCGGGATCATCCCGGGAAGGGAACACACCCACACCCACAGGGAGATCAGGATGTCCGTGATGAAACCTTTGGGAAGGGAATATTGAGCTGGATTTGGGATCGGGAACATCCAGGGATATCAGGATGTCAGTGATGAACCCTTTGGGAAGGGAATATTGAGCTGGATTTGGGATTGGGAACATCCCGGGAAGGGAACACACCCAAACACCCACAGGGAGATCAGGATGTCTGTGATGAAACCTTTGGGAAGTGAATATGGGGCTGGATTTGGGATCGGGAACATCCAGGGATATCAGGATGTCGGTGATGAACCCTTTGGGAAGGGAATATTGAGCTGGATTTGGGATCGGGAACATCCAGGGATATCAGGATGTCCGTGATGAACCCTTTGGGAAGGGAATATTGGGGCTGGACTTGGGATCGGGATCATCCTGGGAAGGGAACACACCCAAACACCCACAGGGAGATCAGGATGTCCATGATGAACCCTTTGGAAATGGGAACACGGGACTGGATTTGGGATCGGGATCATCCCGGGAAGGGAACACACCCACACCCACAGGGAGATCAGGATGCAGGTGATGAACCCTTTGGAAAAGGGGACACGGGGCTGGATTTGGGATCGGGAACATCCCGGGAACACCTTGGGAATACCCAAACCCCGACACCGACCTGGCATCTCCGGGAGCAGCCACCCCTCCACCTTCTTGGGGGGCACCTGGATCACCTTCTCGGCTGCCCAACGGCCCTCCTGGGGACACAGGGACCCCAAAAAGGGGGATCAGGGTTGGGATGAGACCCCCCCAAAATTCCCGTCCCTCGGGAGCAGCTCCGGAGCCGTGGGGAAGGGGAAGGGGGGATCAGGAACACGGGGGGCAAAAAGGGTGGTTGGGTTTTCCAGCTGGTTTGGGGTGTAGGGTGAGGGATTTGGGGTGTAGGATGATGTGCCCGGGTCCTGAGGAAGTGGTGGATGACCCTGCTGGGATTTGGGATGTAGGATTCAGGATTTGGGATGCAGGATTTGGGATGTCTTGAAGAAGTGGTGGATGGCCCTGCTGGGGTGTGGGCTGTGGGATTTGGGATTTAGGGTGTAGGATTTGGGATTTGGGATGTAGGATGAGGGATTTGGGATGTAGGATGATGTGCCTGTGTCCTGAAGATGGTCCTGCTGGGATGTGGGATGTGGGATGAGGGGTTTGGGATGCAGGCTGTGGGATTTGGGGTGTAGGATTTGGGATTTGGGATGCAGGATGTGGGATTTGGGATGCAGGATGTGGGATTTGGGATGTAGGATTCAGCATTTGGGATGCACCTCTGTCTTATAGAAGCGGTGGATGGCCCTGCTGGGATTTGGGGTGTAGGATCCGGGATTTGGGGTGTAGGATTTGGGATTTGGGATGCAGGATGAGGGATTTGGGATGTACCTCTATCTTATAGAATCGATGGATGGCACTGCTGGGATTTGGGATGTAGGATTCAGGATTTGAGATGCAGGATTTGGGATTTGGGATGCAGGATTCGGGATTTGGGATGCAGGATGATGTACCTCTGTCTTGAAGAATTGGTGGATGGCCCTGCTGGGGTGTGGGCTGTGGGATTTGGGATTTAGGGTGTAGGATTTGGGATTTGGGATTAGGGATGCAGGATGTGGGATTTGGGATGTAGGATTTGGGATTTGGGGTGTAGGATTCGGGATTTGGGGTATAGGATGAGGGATTTGGGATGCAGGGTGCGGGATTTGGGATGCAGGGTGCGGGATTTGGGCTCTAGGATGTAGGATTCAGGATTTGGGCTGTAGGATGTAGGATTCGGGATTTGGGATGCAGGATTTGGGATTTGGGATGCAGGATTTGGGATTTGGGCTGTAGGATGATGCACCTCTGTCTTATAGAACCGGTGGATGGCACTGCTGGGATTCGGGATTCGGGATTTGGGGTGTAGGATTTGGGATGTAGGATTCGGGATTTGGGCTGTAGGATGTGGGATTTGGGATGTGGAATTTGGGATTTGGGATTCAGGATTTGGGCTGTACCTCTGTCTTGTAGAACCTGTGGATGGCACTGCTCAGGGTGCAGCCCACGAACCCCTCGGCAGCATTGGGGTCGTGCAGGAAGCGAATCTCCAGCGGGGCCGAGTCCTCCCCCACATCGATGGCCTGGACGTACCTGTGGGAGCTCCAGTCCCACACGTTGAGCCGGCGCCCGTAACGCCCTTGGGATCGGGAATCCCATCAGCAGGAAAAGGGCTCAGCCCCGGGATTCACCCCCGGGAATTCCCAAATCCCAGCGGCGCCAACCCCGGGGGGGGTTTTGGGGGATTTGGGGGATTTTGGGGGATTTTGGCGGATTTGGGGTCACCTTTTTTGAGGTCGCAGGGGTCGAAGCCGTACCCCACTCTCCCGGGGGGGGGGATTTGGGAGATTTTGGGGGATTTGGGGGGTTTTGGGGGATTTGGGGTCACCTTTTTTGAGGTCACGGGGGTCGAAGCCGTACCCCACTCTCCCGGGGGGGGGGATTTTGGGGATTTGGGGGATTTTGGGGGATTTGGGGTCACCTTTTTTGAGGTCGCGGGGGTCGAAGCCGTAGCCCAGGCACTTGGGGACCCCCCACTCGGTGCTGATGAGGACGTTGTGCCGGGGTTGGTACCAGAAGTCGTAGCCCATGGGGGGGGGTCTCGGGGCCCCTCTCCCAGTTCCCCTTCACCTCGAAGGTCTCGGCGTCCAGCAGGATGAACCCACCTGGGGCACAACCCAGGGATTGATCCTGGGGCCCACAAACCCAGTTTCCCACCCCCTGAGCCCCCA